CTGCATTTAAACTCGGGAATTACTGGTAGATGTTCATAAAGGACCAATTTCACAGTCTTGGGATTCTGCTCAATAAAGAGGAAAATAGTCCCTCTAGTGTACTCTTCATGTAGAGGAAGGATTGAGTTTCACATAATATTGCCGTAAGAAGTTACAAAATAATATTATGGCAAGAGATACCAAAGTACATACAGAAGTTACAGTGAAACTGCACATTCCTCCAACCTACATACAAAGGTGCCTGAAGATATCATTTCAGGGCAGATGAAAAATATTAAGCAAAGAAAGTTACTGAATCCTGAACAATTTAACAAAGTTAATAAAAATCAGTTCTAATACACTGATTTTGTGAAAGCATATTTTGAATGCAGCATTTTGATGTGGCATTAGATACTTTCATTTAGAAAACTGTAATACGTGCAAGTCTGGTGAACAGGAACCTTTGTGGTAGTAATGACAAGATTCACCTTACATATTGTGCACTGACAAGACACTATCAGGACATGTGCTTCTGTACAACAGAGCATACACAGTCTTTCTTTCAAAGCATGTTTTTCATAGACGTCAAAAACTAAAACATTCACTTTTATCACTATTCAAAGCAGTGAGCAGTTATTGAATCAGATATCTAAATAATTGTGGGGTGGTTTGGAAACATATAGGTTAGTGTTGAAAAGACCTGTATGTGAGTATCTAGAGTGTATACAGCATGCTGCATCTAGGAAGATTTATTATATATTACTGCACTAGTTAGCTGCCAACCAGTGTTAGATAAGCTAACATTCCAATGGGTTGTTGCTTTATAGCTTTTAAAGTAATGTTTTTGGGGAGAATAATCTAAGCTATTTTTATGAAGTACGTTCTGCTGATTACACTGGAAACAAAATTAATATTTCATATATAACATGTATGATAATAAAACTAAGTTATCTTTTTCACCTTTATTTAAAATGACAGTTTCCCCTTTTGATGCAAGAGGGGAATAACGCCGTTAAATGTGTTCTTTGTCTATGAAGCTGAAATTATCTATATAATAAAATAATTGTAGACTAAGGTAAAAGGCTTTCTCGTACACCAATCTCTATCATTTTTGAAATCTCAGTTTCCCTGTGACTTTTCCCAAGGTCCAAAGTGAACAGTTTAGTCATATGTCCTTTAAACAGTTATATCCCATACTTATGAGGAAAATAAAATGATAAAACAGTATATACTCATTTACTGTGTTTTAGATACCAACGGTCTGTCTACACAGCAGCTGGGAGGTGTAATTCCCAACGCAAGCAGAAGTACGCTCCTTAGCTCTGCTTGAGCTAGTGCCTAAAAAGAGCAGAGTGGCCGTGGCAGAATGGGCAGCAGTTCAGCCTACCCATCTGAATACATTCCCAGGGCACTGGGCAGGACTGCACTCGGGCGGCTAGCACAAGACACCACCTCTGAGGCCGCACCCACGCTTCTTTATTTAGATGCTAGCTCAAGCAGAGCTAGAGCGCAAGAGCTGGGAATCACTCTCCAAGCTACTGTGGAAACAAACCCTTTGAGATGTAGATGGAGTCCAACAGGAATGTTTCCATATAAAGTAACTGATATTCCAGTCAAGAAATAGAAAGATCCCTGTTTTAAATGCATATGCACACCTTAAAAAGAACACTAATCCTGTTAGAAATTAAAATCTCTGTTCTGGGATGCCTGGCAGATTATTAGCTCCTGACCTCTCCTTCCCCTACTTTATCACATTCCTATCAGCCACACACAAACATATACACAGATTGCTAACAAAATCAAACCTGTTATCATCAGTTTCAAAGACAACTTGCACTCAACCATAACCAAGATTTTGAGCTTCTAATGTGCCCTCATCTTCTGATGAAGGTCATTTTAGACACCAGTGAGAAACTTCTGAACTAAATTATATCAGTGAAAACTCAAAGGATCCAAGTTTTTAACATTTTAATTAGCTCCAAGTACCAGTTAATTCTGCACAGAAATTGAATCAATATCAAATTAAAAGTATAAATTGTCAGAAAAAATGCAAGTGTATTAAGCATACTAATCAATGTAAGCACTTTGCACAATGGCCCAGATCCTACTTCCACTTAAGTCAATGAGAGTTTTGCCACCAAGTTCAATGGAAGTAGTATCATATAACATACATTATATGTTGTTTTATAGTTTTTAGTTCCATTTGATTTGAGATCATTGGCTGAAAACTCAAAGTATTCAATAAAAGACAGGATTTGTCATAGCAGATAAGACAGAACAGCTGAGGTCTGAAACCAATGCTTTTGCAAATGACATAAAGATATATATTTGAAAGCAAGGATTGTCATATTAGATTTAAGCCTTATCACACTCTCTATCATGCTTGTGGAACTTCATCAAATTCAATATATAAAATAGGCATCCAATTTTAAAATGCATCTGTTTTTAAGGTATCAGTCTTGAACTAAACAACTGGCCTTTTTTTTTTAAATATTTCCTTAGCCTGAGTCAAATGCAGTGCAAACATTTTTCCTGTAATGCTCCATTTGGGAAGGTGAAAATCCTGCATCTGTATTCAAATTAATTTCCTAGTAGTATGTCTTACTCAGAAATCAAAACATAAGAATGGGTTACTAGCATAAGAATACATGAGAATCTTCCAGCTTATACAACATTTCCAACTCATTTGTTTTATATCATGTAAGCTCTCTATTATTCGAATCAAATACAGAGATTCAATAGGAAAGTTAACATCTATATAATATGCTAAAACTTCCTCAAAAATCCTCCTCCTATCATCCATTAAGACCCTCAATCATAAATGGCACATAGTGGCACCAAGATGAAATTTAACTGAACCAGTTGTCCCTCCTTTGTAAATAGCACCTACATCATGCAAGTGCCCATTCTTACTGTGTAGCTGTAACATTTAAAGAAATGGCATTTTAGCAAGTGGCATACTAATAGATGAGCATGCAATACCAAAGCAAACACTTTTTGTAAAGTACTTTTAAAATGTGGTCTACCCAATATTAGCTATTAGTAAGACCTTTATTTTAAAAGTGATCTTCAAAAGCAAAAGCCTGACTATACACAATGTGTTTTCACATGCACAAAGTAAACAATCTGGAAAATGATTTTTTCTCTAATATCTTTACATTATAGTAATCATAAGTGTGATCTGTAAAAACTGTATATAGAAATTTTTCAGATATGTGTGATTTCTCAATTGATGGTGTCCCTTTATGCACTAACATACCGGGGGGAAATGCCAAACATCCAGAGAGGTTACCCTTTAAAGAATTCCACCATTAATTTAACTTTATAAGGAAAAGCATACACCTTTCTTGGCTTTTTTTGGGTGGAGGGAGGAATTTGAATTTTTCTTGAAAAACTAGTAGTAATTCTATATTTGAACTCTGAGATTTGCATCTGTATATTTTTGGCCTACTACTGTTACATGCAACTGCTAAGATTCCTATGATTGAAAAAAAAATAAAGAAAATATATTTGTCTACATTTTTCAGTTTGTTGTTTTGTGCATTTGACAGCATTCCGTGTATAGTCTTCCCACTGTTTCCTCTGTATTTAGTTAATTTTCACTGTTTCTGTGAGAGACAAGGTGGGTTAGGTCATATCTTTTATTGGACTAACTTCTGTGGGTGAGAGAGACAAGCTTTCCAGCTTGCAGATCTCTTCTTCAGGTCTGGCTGAGTCTTCTGCAGAGCAAGGGAAGGGGGGAGGGGACGACTATGTTTTTTCCAAATTCAGAAAATGTGATTGTTAAACCACAAACACTGACAAGGACTCCAATGCAGACGCGGTCCCTGCAATTACTTTTAACTCATTTTTAACTGACTAGATTTCAGGTTGACGGTGTCCATTTAAGCACATCAGGCTAAGCACACTGCAGCAGGGTCACTGTGATCTCAGAGGCCACGCCACACACCCCCTTTAAACCACGTGCCTCGAGCACTAAAGAAACTGACATGGGCCAGCAGAGAGGAGTCACCCAAGTTCATCTAAACAGAGAACCCCTCTCCCAGCCGAGAAGCCGCCTGCTTCGCTAGTACACAGTGGAGGCAGCCTGGGTCACTCTCAAATTAGCAAACATCAGCTACCGGTTCAGACAGCAGCAGGTGCTGGGGCCCGGCCAGCCAAGCAATAAGAAGAGGAGTCTCACCAAAGCTTTTCAGGAAGCTCATTGGACTCCGGTGCCTCCCACGTTTAATATTTAACTGGAGAGCCGTGCAAGGCAGAGTTTGCCTGGCAGATGTCACTCCAAGGAAGAGGAAGGTGCAAGGCGAGGAGCTCAAATGATTGAGAGGCTCAAGAGTCCAAGGTCTCTTCCGAGTATCTGCTTCTTGCATTTCAAAGGCAGGAAAGCACCGATCCTCCCCCCCTCCCCCGGCTAGTACACCGAAGAGCCCGCCGCCTGCGAAGTGCGAGGCTGGGATCACAGTATTGTGCTCCTCGGACGCTGCACTAAAACGCTGCTCCTCCGCGTTACGCTAAAAGCAATTAATTACTTTAATTCCGGGCTAGTGCGCCTCGGCAACCCATCGCCCCTCCGACCAGGGGGCCAGCCCGCCCCATCCCACGCCAGCTCCCCCGCAGCGAGCTCCAGGCAGCCACTAGCGCACCGGGGGTGCCGCACATGGGCCTGCTACTGGGTTTAACTGGCTGAGCGCGGTCCAGCTCCCCCCGCCCCCACTGCCCCCCGGGTTTCCTCCCACCCCCTCTACCTTCCCCGGGCACCCTCTCTGTACCTTTACCCCGGTGCTGCCTCCTGAGAGCCTCCCTAACCCCCGTCCTGAGTGCCACTCCTGCCCCCCCCGGGGCACATCCCGGTCCCCCACCCTCTCCCTCGGGGGCACCCCCCTGCCACTCCTCACCTCTGCCCCCGCCCTCCCGCTGCCCCCCTCACCTCCCAGCCCCGCCCTCTGTTCCCGGGACAGCCCGCGCCCCTCTGCTCCCGGCCCCTGTGTCCCCCGCGTCCGGGGACACCCCGCCCCCCTCACCTTCCAGCCGGCCGAGCTGTTGCTGTCGCCCTTATCCTTGAAGTAGGGCACGCAGCGCACCATCCAGTCGTAGATCTGGGACAGGGTGAGCCGCTTGTCCGGGGCGCTCTCGATGGCGCGGGTGATCAGGTCGGCGTAGGACAGGTTGCCCCACGCGTTCCGCCGGGACGAGCATTTCCGCGGCGCCGCCGCCGGCTGCCCCCCACTCAGCCCGCTGCCCCCAGCCGCCGCTGCCCCGGGGGCCTGGCCCGAGCCCTCCGTCCCGACCCCGGACAGCGGGGTCAGCAGCCGGGCCGCCTCCTCCGGAGCCAGCGCTTCCCCTCCGCCGGGGACGGCACTGCCGATGGCCATGGGCGAGCTGCCCCCTTCCTCCTCGTCGTCCTCCTCCTCGGGGATCATGGAGGCGGCGTCCGCGGCCGCTTCCCCCGAGGGCTTGGCCGGGCTCGCCTGCAACTCAGGCCTTTGTAGGGGCCAAGTGCAGGAGCGGGGCCGGCTCTGGGGCTCGAACTCGGGGTCCAGCTCCACGTCCAGAGGGGAGAGGGGGGCAGGGGGAGACGCCTCTGCCATCTTGGCTTCCCCTCCTCCCGCTGCTACTGCTCCTGGTGCTGCGATGGGATAGACAGGTCCGGACCCCAGTCCTCCTCCTGCCGCTGCGGATCAGTGCCTACCAGGCAGGGGGGAGCGAGTGAACATGCCACTCTCCATTAAAGTCCTGCAGCCTTCTGCCTTCCCCCGCCCCCTCTCCCAGCAGACAGTGCACACACACACACAAAATACTACTAATAATCACAAGGCGATCAATAAGGGATCAGGCGAGGCCAGAGGTTCCAGATGCGCCTCTGGAACCAGATGGGTGGGGGGACGGCGCCAACAGCAGCCCAAACGCAGTGGAGTTGGTGCAGCTCAGTCGTGTGTGTTTGTTTATGTTTCACTCCATGCAGCTGCAGAAGTGCTCCACTGGCAATCACGCTGTATCCATCGGAGAGAGACCCCTCCAACACCACCAAGCCTGCTCCCGGCTGCTCTGGTAGACCTTTTCCTTTTTCTCTCTCTCTGTCCGGGGAAAAGAGAGAGGGGTCCTTCACATTACATTGATGACTTTTTCCTCCTTCAAAACGCCCCAAAGGGAGCTGAAGTCTTAATGTACCTCCAATTGCACACTAGCATTTGCCGTAGTTATGCATTCCACTTTCCAAAAAATATATAGATCTATATATACAAAACTAAATTTCACAACCAACCGAACGGGGAAGAAAACACCACTGGATTTTTTACCCTTCTTGCGAGGAAAGCAAAACAAAAACAAATCAAATCACCAGTCTTCCAACAGGTCCAGAAGCTTTAAGCCCTCCGTAGGGCTGCCAAGAGGATGGGTTTTGTTCCAGCATCAACACCACATTCATAACCTCCTTGCTCCTGCTGCTGCCATCTTGACAGTTTTCCCCCCTTCGCTCAAGTCATTTAAAAAACACTGGCAAAAGAGACAGAGAAAGACACATCGGCCGAGGAAGGAGGGAAGGGGAAGAACCAGCAGCAACCTCTACCCTCTCCAGCAAAAATAAAGATCCAGATTCACAGGAGGAAAAAGCAGCGCTGGTGCATGGTTTCCTGATTCTCCTGCTGCTGCGTCTTCAGCTTCTAGTCGCCTTCCCTTTAAAGGCAAAGGAGGAGAAAGCAAAAAACCGTACGACACCTCTGTAAACAGAAGGGGAAAAGCAAATGATCTGCCAGGGAGAAATAATGCTGCTGCTGCAGCTCGCCCGACCAGCCTGTCACCCTGCACTCTACTGACTTCCACATTCCTTCTCCTAACCACCACCAGCAGCAAGCAACACAAAGTTATAGACGCACGCAGCGAGACTCAACCTAACCATACAGCAGCCTTGTCCCCGCCCACGGGGAGGGCTGATGAGCTAAGCCGCAAGCAGAGGGGCAAGTTTCCAAGCTACTACAGAAACCTGTGTTATCATATAGATCTGTCTCTGTCAACAGCAAATGCTCTGTTAATAGTCTGTCTTTAACTCCTCGAAAGACAGGACATTCAGAGTGTCATATGGTATCAGGCCAAGTATCACATTGCAAACCTATACAGACTTAAAGAGACACCACCTTATTAACTATATAATATTTAAAAGCCCATTTAAAAGCCTACAAACATCTTAATTTATTCAAACTAGAGGATGGGAGAACATCTGATTTACTTTTCTTTATTAACCCACTCTGCCACTGTCTCTGTGTGATCTTGATGTCACTTCTTTTGCTGTACCTCAGTTTCCCCATCTGTAAAATAGGGATTATATGTATTTACTTCATAATGGAGTTATGGGATATAATTGATTCCTGTTTGTAAAGTCCTTTGAGATTCTCATATAGAAGTTGCTGTAAAAGTGCAATGTTGTATTTTTGTATTATTATTATACTGTTTGTTTACTTTCTGCATTTATCTCATATTGGACAATGCAAATAGACTAATTAGTATCACTTCTGTTTATAGTTAATTTTAGTCAGATTCACTTAGGTGCTCATCCACTAACACATTATGTCAATATTTATTGTTTGTAATCATTTTACTATGTAACATTTGGGTTGTAAACACAACAGAGGTATTTTTTTGTTTTGTTTTGCTTTGGTTTTTTTTTAACTGTTTTCATTGTAATTTTTGTTCTACATTCATGGAATTATTTCTCTTGATCTTAAACTTCGTAAAAGTTATTTTTAGAAAACCTATATTTTACGCTAAATATAATGTGACAGTGTCTCTTCAAAATTTCATTCCGCACTTTGAGTGACTAGGGGAACATGTTCAGACATGTATGTATCTGCATATAATTCCACTTGACTTCCTCTTTGGAGTACATACTGTAATAGAAACCACTCCTAAATAGCTCAAAGGAAGGCTCTGTTAATTGCTTCTACAGTTTGGCAAAGCCAACAGGTATACCAGATATAGAACTAGTAACATAAATGTAGGTATGAATATATAACATAGCAACATAAATATATTAGTACTGCACAGATTTGTATTTACTTTTTAAAATTTGATTTAATACAAAAATAGCATCTTCCCAAGTACCAGTTATAGACAACTGACTATTGAAAAATAGGTTTGCTTCTAATGTGTTTCATAGCAGAAGAAAAAAATAGAATTAGCTCAGAAGATAAATAAAATTATCCTTGGTTTATTTACAATTATGGATTAGCAACAGTGTTTGAAATAATTTTATTTTAAATGGTTACAAAAAAGCGAGGCTCTGATGCTGCATGCCTTTCGCAGTAAGCCAAAACTGGGTATGGCTTTCAGAATTTGGCCCTAATTATGTATTTCGTCTCCATTGCAAATTTGAGTGGCTCCCATTAGGAGTCTTTCACCATTATTTTATTATAGGGGACAAAACTTCAACAGATACAGGATATAATTTAGATGTCAACTACAAGATTTAGTGCATTTAAATATGGATACAAATAATCCTCAATTTTCCTGATGGAATGGGGACATTGAATTAATTGGGATAAACATAGGTTCCAACAACAAAGGGAAATTTCAATGCAGTTAACACACATCTCAAAACATGACCCCATTTAGGATCATCAAGGTTTGACTCTGTGGGCATGTCTGCAGAGGCCACCTATAGGAATTAAAGGGTAGTTCAGTCTCTGGTAAGGATATCGCCGAGGGTACAGTTGTGACACTGATATTTGTCCACTAAGAACTAAGCTAATTATTATTTTGTATAATGTGGTAGCACTTAGGATCCCCAATCATGGTTCAGGACCCCATGGTGCTAGACACTCTACAAAGACCTTAGACCACCAGTTCATCTCTGAGCCGTCACTAAATGGTAAGGACCTTCAGTAGTTCACAGGCTGGAACCAGTGACCTATAGGTGATAGGCTCTCCCTCCTAATATTCCCCTGGACTATCCAGTGACTGGGGTGTGCACTGAGATTTTTAAACATAATTCCTCCTATTTAAGAAAAGTTTATATAGCTCAGTATTCAATGAGACCAGCATTGTATAGCTGGGATTAATTTGCCAGAATTACCAGTAGGGTTAGGCCCACTTTCATTTTTTCCAGATTCACATCACAAGAAGAGACCAGGTTCCTTCTTGACTATGAGGGCATAGTCCTGGCATGGACTGAAATGCTTAGTTACTTAGAATCTCTTTTTAAAATGGTCCCTTCTGTACTTAAACTCTATGAAATCTATGAACAACACTATTTGTTAAAATCTAGATTGGTTGGCATACCTTCCATGTCAATAAATACCTTTCAAAAGAGATCAAACTGAAATATTTTGTAAAGAAAATTCATATTTAATGGACAATGGTGAGAACACTAAGGGCTGTATCTCCACTTTCTGCACATAGGTAGCAGGCTATGCAGAGCTGCAATGTCCCTTCCTTGTGCAGGGGAGTAGGAGAGGGTAGGAAGCAGACATAACTTTGACTCTGCCCCACCGATGTATTTGGAGGCATAGTTATGCTGGCATGCTGGGCACCCCAAAAGAGATTGGCCTCATTGTGCTAGATGCTATATTATGTGTGCTATATGTATAGATGGTAAGAGCCAGATTATGTCCAAAGAGTTTACCATCCAAGCAGGCAAGATAGACAAAGTATAGGAGACAAGAAGTAGCATTATTGCTATTATATAGATGGAGAACTGGTGCACAGAGAGATTAAGTGACTTTTCTGAGGACACACAGGAAGTCTATGGCAGAGCTGGGAACTAAAGCTAATTTTCCTGAGTCCCAATCCAGGGCCTTAACCACAAGATCATCCTTCCTTTTAAAAGTCCACTGATATGTCAGCCATATAGTCTTTATCAAAGGGAGTTACAACAACTCACCAGTTCTTCATAGCTCCACATAGAATGTATTGTCTTCATTGTTGCTGTGTAGAGGAAGAATGAAAAATTCAATTAATAACACCTACAGTTTTTACCTGCACAGAACTCCATATGAAAAAGGGGTAAATGGGCTAAATGCTGCTTATTACAATCCCAGGAGTAGCCCCACTGAGTTCAGCATGTAAACTGAGCAGAATTTAGCCCGAAGTCTTCATGATCTCCTCACTCTCTTCCTTCAAGTCCCTCCCTAAAACTCACTTCTTCACCACTTCTTCCATATCTCATCTCAAAATCCTTAATTGATCTCTCATTACAAACATAAATACACACACATCCTTTGGAATTAACATGACACATGCCAAACAAAACTACTCACTCACTTTGCTCACATGTTGCATCCATTCCCTCAGCTCCATTGATAGGATTTTCAAAAGGGCTCAGTTTACAAGAGTTTTATCATTGGCTTCAGTGGCCGAGCAGAATTAGGTCAGCACTGACACCTTTTGAGAATTCACCCATGTATTTTATCTATTCAGATTGAAAACTCTTCAAGGCAGAGCTATGTTTTCCTGTATGGTGCTCTCTCTGCATGTGATCTCCACACACTCTAGTTAACTACTTATTGTGGTGGGTCATGCTTCTACACAGAGGTATGTGATGCCACTCTTCCCACATAAAAGGTGGGATTCAGCAGCTTCTGTGGAAACATCCCCTTTCCTGAATTGTGGGGAAGGCTATCTACAAATCCAGAGATTGGCATGGGTGAGGGAGTACAGTGAGTGAGCAACGGAGGAGTGGACTGGTTGGGGGAAGAGCTGGTAGGGCTGCAATTTGTCTCCATCCAGCAGAACTTACAAAAAATTTAGCCTGATGTTATATTACCTATTTTGTGGAGCCTCCTCCAGCATGGGGAACTCTTTAAATGTACAGATATATTTAAATCAATGGCGCACCCTCACCTGCATACTGTGATACTGTGTTCAGTTCTGAGCACCCCAACTCAAAAAAGATAAGCAGAAATAGAGGGGATTCAAAGATGGCTGACAAGTCACAAGAATGATAAAAGACAAAGAAAAACTTCCTTATGAGACAAAATTGGAAAGACTAGCAGTTTTTACCTTCAAGAGGAAACCAATACAAGGGATTAGGATGAAGGTATACAAAATAATGAATGGTAAGAAGGTAGATCAGAAACTTAAGTTCACCATCCTGTCTTATATACAAGAACAATGGAACAGTAAGTGAAACTAAAGGCAGCAATTTTAAAAGGATATAAAAAGATACAAATAAATGTTTTTTCACACAATGCAGAATTAAAATGTGGAACTCATTACCACAAGGTATAACTGAGGCCAAGAACTTATCATGATTCAAAAAAGGATTGGACATCTTCATAGATAACTAGAATATCTGTCCAGAGTTATAATAGTTAGGTTTGAAAAAATGAAACACTCAGATATTTTTGGAAGGAATATAAATGCTCATGTTTCAGGGCATAAGACAACCTCTAACTGAGAGGATTAGGAAGAAAATGTCCCTATGGGCAGACGGTCCCATAGCTGTCTACTGCAGGGTTTCTTGCACTTTCCTCTGAAAGTTGACATCTGGTATTGGCTGTCAGAGATAGGATACTGGTCTAGCTGGATGTCAGGTCTGACCTAGGATGGCTGCTCCTATGCTCTGTAGTACAATACAGTTATACAATGAGGCAGCTCTTAAATTTTTATTTTGTCCTCATTTTTAATGTGTGTCAACCTGCCTCGTTCATTGCACACCATACAACAGATATGCACACTGAATAAAGCTGAGGTCCAATTTTGCAGTGAATGAATCCAGGGTTTGCCAGAGAAGGTTACAAGAGCTGTGCCCCACAAACTCTCCCTCTGAACAATGAACACTGTGATTTCATAGAATATCAGAGTTGGAAGGGACCCCAGGAGGTCATCTAGTCCAACCCCCTGCACAAAGTAGGACTAATCCCTCACTAAATCCCCAAATGGCCCCCTCAAGGATT